CCTCCCCCCCCCTCCCTCTGGAAAACCGGGGGGGGTCACTACCGGTTCGAACCCCTCCCCCCCCCCCCCCAATCATCATGAAAAGGGGGGGGGCGTCACTACCGGTTCGAACACCCCCCCCCTCGAAAACCGAGTGGGGGTGCGGACAGTGGTGGGGACGGTGTTGGTGGGGACAGTGGCGAGGGGACAGCGGGACAGTGGTGGGGACAGTGGGACAGTGGGACATTGGTGGGGACGGCAGTGGTGGGGACAGTGGTGGGGACAATGGTGGGAAAAGGGGGGACAGTGGACAGTGGTGGGGACGGTGGTGGTGGGGACAGTGGTGTGGGGACAGGGGAATGAGGTGGAAACAGTGGGACAGTGGAGGTACAATGGTGGTGGGGACAGTGGTGAAGGCGGTGGCGAGGACGGCGGTGGGACAATGGGACAGAGGTACAGTGGGGACAGTGGTGGGGACAGTGGGGACAGTGGTGGGAACAGTGGGACAGCTCAGTGGGACAGCGGAGGAGTCAGTGGGACAGTGGGGACAGTGGGGATAGTCGGGCAGTGGTTGGGGCCGTGGAGACAGTGGGGAGAGTGGAACCGTGGTGGGAACAGTGGTGGGGACAGAGGGGACAGTGCGACAGTGGTGGGGGCACTGGTGGGGACAGTAGGGACGGTGGTGGAACCAGTGGGGACAGTGGTGGTGAGGACAGTGGTGCTGGGAACACAGTGTGGGATGTGTATGCGGGACGGTGGTAGGGACCGGGAGCGTTTGCTGGCGGTGGGTGGGTGGGGGGAGGGGGGTCGAACCGGTATAAGTGGCCCTCCTCCGGTTTTTCGAGGTGGGGGGGGGAGGGGTTCGAACCGGTAATTACCCCCCCTGGTTTTCCAGATCCGGAGGGGGGAGGGGGGTGGAGGGGTTCGAACCGGTAGTGACCCCCCCCGGTTTTCCAGTACGGAGGGGGGGGGGTTTGGTGCGGAGGGTTCGAACGGTAAATTTGACTTGCCTCTCTTGGGCCGGAGGGGGGAGGGGGGAGGGGGGTGGAGGGTTCGAACCGGTAGTGAACCCCCCCGGGTTTTCCGCCAGCAGGGTAGAACACGCTCTTCCTACTCCTACTCCTACTACTACTCCTACTCCTGACATATATATTAACTACTCACTATACTACTCGACTGAATTACTACTACTACTCTAACTGCTACGACTACCACTCACTTACTACTACTTATCACTACTACTACTACGCCTACTACTACTATCTACTACTCTACTATTACTACTTAATTACTACTACTACTACTTTTATACTACTATACTACTAAGACTACTACGTGTACTACTACACTATACTAATACTACTAATACTAACTATACTACGACTACGGGGGGAAACTACTACTACTACTACTACTACTTCTAATACTACTACTCCCGATACGTACTACTGTTTTACTATACTACTAACTACTACTGACACTATTACTACTAAGAAACTACTACTTTACTACTACGGACTACGACTACGGACTACGAGTACTACTACGACTATAAGTCACTACTAACTAATACTACCTATACTACTACTACTACTACTACTACTACTACTGAGAGAGTGAGATCCACCGCCGCTTTACAAAGGAAAAATGCCAGCCTTTTTCCTCGGAAACCCGGGGGTCCCCCCCCCCCCCCCCCTCCCCCCTCCGACCCCCCCCCCCTGCTGGACCCCCCCCCCCCCTCCCCCCCCCACCCCCCCCTCCCCCGGCAAAACCCCCCCCTTCCCCTAACCCTCCGCCCCCCCCCTCTCGAAAACCGAAGGGGGGGGGGTCACTACCTGTTCGAACCCCTCCCCCCCCTCGGTCACCATATGAGAGCGTACTTCCTGGTGGATGCTGCAGGAGGCGCTGCATGAGGCTCCAGGAATTCGCGCAGGGCATCCAAGAGGAGGACCCAGGGCAGCCTAATGGGGGATGCCCGAGAACCCCTAGGACCCTGGCAAAACCATGCTGGAAGTCTTTTTGGGGATGCCTTTGGGGGACGTTCTTGAAGGGCTCTTGGGGGTTTCTTGGGGGTGGGGCGTCTCCGGTTTTTGTTGGGGGTCGCCTGGTGGCCTCTTAGGACTCGTGGGGGCCGTTTCGGAGGCCTCCCCGGGGCTCTTGGCATCTGGCTTGAAATGTCGGTTTAGATCCCCGCTGCTGCCCATGTTTGGGGGCCGTCTTGAAGACCTCTTGGGCCGTCGTGGCGGCATCTTGGGCCGTCTTGGCGCTCTCTTGGATCGTATTCGGGCCGTCGCGGGTAACTCTTGGGCTGTCTTGGTGCTGTCTTGGGCCGTCTTGGCGCGTTGGAATGACGAACAAGCATGAGGGAGGCGGAGAGAGGAAGGCGTGAAGAAGAGATGAGGAGGAAAAAGGAGGAGGGAAAATGACGCAGCGGGGAGGAGGGAGGAGAGGGAGAAGGATATGGAATGGGAGACGGAGAAGACCCAAGAACAATGGAACTATCAACAAGAACGGACGGGGAAAACGGAAACGCACTTGGGAGCAATGTAGAAGCCACCTTGAACAAGTGGGTTTGAAGGAATTCCCTTTGATTTCAAGCTGGGTCTCCTACTACTGGGGGCAGGGTGCTGGATGAGGGCGGCGGAGGGAAGAAAAATTCAAGATGCTGATGAGGAAATGGGGAAACGGAAACGCATGAGTAAGGCCGAGAGGGGAAGGCGTAAAGGAAAGCCGGGGAGGAGGGAGGAAGGAAACTGACGCAGCTGGGAGGAGGAAGGAGAAGGAATAAAATGCGGAACGGGAGACGGAGAAGAACCAGCAACAAGAGAGAGAGAGAACAACGAGAACTGACAACGAGGGATGGGGAACACGGAAACGCATTCGGGGGCACGCCAAAGCCTGGGACAGGGGAGAACGGAGAGGTAGGTCGACTTTGAAAAAAAAAACGGATTTGAGGGAATTGCCTTTTTAACAGTTGGGCCTGGAGGCCTCCAAGGGCACCCAAGATCGCCCCAAGAGGCCTCCAAGAGTCCCCCCCAAGAGCTCAGGGGAAGCCCTCGAGAGGCCAAAACGTTGACCAGGCGTGAAGGAGAAACTAGGAGGAAGGAAGAAGGGAAACGAGGCAGCGGGAAAGCCTCTTGGGCTTTCCTGGAGGCTCCCGCGGGCCGTCCTGGAGCCATGTAAGGAGCCTCTTGGGCCGTCTTGGGGCGATATTGGAGGCCCCGCGGGCCGCCTTGGATGCTCTGAAAGCTCCAACGACGAATCTTCTAAACAGACACGTTTTCCGACGGGAACGGGGCCATTGTTGCCTCTTGAGGCCCTCTTAGGGGGCCTTTGGGGGGCCCCTTGGGGCTTCCTGGAGGCCTCTTCGGAGCTTCTTTGGGCCTCTCAGGGGCTTCTTGGGGGCTTCCTGGAGCCTCCTCGGGGCATTTTGGGGCCAAAGGCTTGAGATATCCATTCGGGAATCCCCTCTAGGCCCCCTCTTGGGGCCGTCCTGGGGCCTTCATGGGCTGTCGTGGGGGCCTCTTGGGCCTTCTTGGGGCTCTCTTGGGCCGTCTGCGAGCCCTGTAGGGAGCCTTTCTTTTTTTCTGCATAAGGAACAAATCCGCGTCGGCCTCTTGGACACGGTAATTATGAAAAAATGATAGACCTGTGCTCGCATTCAAGGAGAGGCCCTCGGTAAAACGTCTGTAATCGGCTACAGAACGGAGCCCTTTTACATAAATAAGCAAAAGCATCAAATGGCCTCTGGCCGGCCGGCGACAGGAGATGCAAGGCAGGCACCTGCATTCGAAGGCTAGCACTTGCGAATATCATTCCCATTGCGAGCGCCTGAACATTGTGTTCCCCATCATGCGGGATACCTGTGGACTGGATCAACTACCGCAGCGCACAGCGCAACCAACGTGGAGGGAAAAACAAGGTCGACAACTTAAATATACGATCACGTGTAGAAACGATCGCCTGAACATTGTGTCCCCCATCATGCTAGACTGCATCAACTACCGCAGCGCACAGCGCAACCAACGTGGAGGGAAAAACAAGGTCGATAGCTTGAATATACGTTCACGTGTAGAAACGATCGTCTGAACAGTGTGTTCCCCATCATGCGGGATAACTGTGGGCTGGATCAACTACCGCAGCGCACAGCGCAACCAACGTGGAGGGAAAAACAAGGGCGACATCATAAATATACGATCACGTGTAGAAACGATCGCCTGAACATTGTGTTCACCATCATGCGGAATACCTGTGGGCTGGATCAACTACCGCAGCGCACAGCGCAACCAACGCGGAGGAACAACAGGATCGACAACTGGAAGATATTATCACGTGTGAAGACGATCGCTCCTCGCATCTCGCAATACTTCATCCGTAAATGCACATGGCGCATGCAAAGGGAGCAAATCCGCGTCGGCCTCTTGGACACGGTAATTATAACACAATGCGAGAACTGTGCTCGCATTGAAAGAGCTGCCCTCGGCAACACGTCTGTCATTGGCCGACAGAGCGGGAACCCGAGTTCGAGCTAAATTAACTAGCAATTGCATCGAATGGCCTCTGGCCAGCCGGCGACAGGCAATGCAACGCAGGCGCCTGCATTCGAAGGCTACCACTTGCGATGATCGTGCCGATTGCGAGCGCCTGAACATTGTGTTCCCCATTATGTGGGATACCTGTGGACTGGATCAACTACCGCAGCGCACAGCGCAACCAACGTGGAGGGCAAAACAAGGTCGACAGCTTAAATATACGATCGCGTGTACAAGCGATCGCCTGAACATTGTGTTTCCCATTATGCGGGATACCTGTGGGCTGGGTCAACTACCGCAGCGCACAACGCAACCAACGCGGTGGGAAAAACAAGATCGACAACTGGAATCTACTATCACGTGTGAATACGATCGCTCCACGCAGCCCGACCCGCAAACATATATATATATACATATATCTATATATATATATACATATATATATGTGCGTGTGTGTTAGTATCAGCATCCTTCTCCTCCCCCCCCACCTTCCCCGCACCTCCAGGATAACCCACGACAAGCTGGACAAGTCAGGCCCGCGACCTGTGTTGACAGTAATATGGGCGTCCGTCGCAACTCTGCCGCGAGCTCCTGGACAAAAACGCCTCGGGAACGCGGGAACCGCCATCGCGGGCCCGCGGGTCAGCGGTCTGAAAGCCAGCTGGGTCGTTGGAGAGGAGCAATGAGGAGGGGGAGGAAGGAGGAGGAGGAGGAGGAGGAGGAGGAGGAGCGAGCGTCCGTAGCCATTCTGGCTCAAGGCTAAACGTTGTGAAGGGCTATAGACGCCCGAGAACCAGCGATTAGCTTTTGGCCCGTCCGTGGCCATCTCTCGAACTTGTTGGCCTGCAGGAGGCCGCTTTCGCTTCCTTGTCTCTCGGCACATGGCTTCCAGCAGGCCCCGCAGCAATGGCAAGTCCTCGTCATACTGGGGCAGCCAGGTCTGGACGTGTGCTGACAAGAAGTGCAAGTTCACGTGCAATTTTGGATGGAGGCGCACCTGTTTCGTTTGCGGCGCTCAGAAGGCCACTGCTGAGAGTCGTCCAAAGCCAGGTGCTTCCGACAAGACGGCCAAGGATGACAAGCTCGAGGACAGCCAGGTGCAAGCCCTTCTTGCTCTTGATGATGCTCAGTTTTGCGCTCTGGTGGCTCTTCTGCCCAGTCAGCAGCGAGCTCACATCGTCGCGCAGAGGGCGGTCAAGTCTGGCGACCCCGCGGCGGTCTCGAAGGAGGCCAAAGTCGAGCACGACATCCTCAAAGCCAAGGTGTCCAAGGCTGCAGCGGCGCTTGATCGTGCCAAGGCGCTGCTGGCCTCGCAGGTGCTGCGCGTCGCGCCCCTGCAGGTCGAGCATGACGCGTTGCTGGCCAAGGAAAAGGTGGCGGCCAAGCGTGCGGCCGACGCCTACGGTCAGTTGTCAGGAGGTGTGGCGGCTCCTGCAGCTGATGCTACTCAGCCGCGCGATCCTGCTGTGGGCCCACGTACGCAGCTGGTCGCCCTGGGCTGTGAGGCCACCGTCCTGGGCGATTTCGACAGGCTCATTGCGGCGCGTGATGCAGCAGAGGCCGAGCGCCAGCGGAAGGCCCAGGCTGATGCAGCCCAGGCCGCCGCGGCGGGTGGTGTCGCTCCTGGCGGTGGTGGTGATGCTGCTGATGTACCTGTCCCTGGCGCCCCTGCTCGATCGGGCAGCGACGCCAGCATGTCCATTTCGTTCAGCGACCTCGATGGCGAGTGGATCGACGACCTCATCAAGGGTGCCAACGACGCTGAGCCAGGTGATGGAGACTCTGAGGCCAAGGGCGGAATCACCCGCTCCGCTTCGCAGGCAGCGCTTGAGGAGGCCCTTGAGCGTGCAAAGAAGGCCAAGCACGACAAAGCCTCGGAGGGGTAGCACGCCACCTCGTGCGCGCGCGGGCCCCTCGTGTCTGGACATTTTTAACCTGCAATGTTACAGAGCGAGCTGGGCTTGACATTTTCCTTTCCTCCCCATCACTCCCTGAGCGCTGATGTGCTCGCCGCTCAGGAAACACATATTGTGGACACAGAGGCGCCGGAAGCTGCGCTGCGTGCCCAAGGTCGTCGAGCACATTTCGATCCAGCTATTCCCGCGGGCCGTGGGGGTACATCTGGAGGCCTCATGATTGCCACCCCGAAGCACCTTGGTTTGTCTAGAGTGGAAGGCTACTCTGACAGTTTTGTACCTGGACGCGTTGGGATGTTACATCTTGGAGGCGTAATACCTGGGGGAGTTCTGGTGGCCAGCATCTATCTGCATCATAGCGTTGGCCTCCCCCCTCAAAACTGGACTATAGTATGTGACCTGGGGGCCCAGCTAAAAGCCATTGGGATGCCGTCTATTCTGATGGGTGATTTCAATCTGGAGCCTGATGTCTTGGATTACAGCGGATGGGTGTCGGCCCTTGACGCTGTCCTTGTCGCATCGGAAGGTGGAACGTGCCGCCCAGCCGATCGTGTGATCGATTTTTTCGTGGTCAGTCGCGAGCTCGCCGCTGGAGCTCAGGCAACTGCACTCTATGACGTCGCTACGGCACCGCACTACCCTGTTCAGCTTAGGCTAGCGTGCACGAAGGACTCCTATCGTGTCAGGGTGGCTAAGGTACCGAGGCGTTTCCCCACTGTGGTTCCCGCTGGGCCAAGGAATAGGCCCCCTGGAGGCCGTTGGGAGCATGTGAGCAACTATGTGCAGTCTGGGGATATCTCGAAGTCTTGGGAGTCCTTTGTCCAGGCCGCGGAGCTCGAGCTTCTCGACGTGTACCAGGTAGACGATGATGCAGCCCAGAGCTACTTGGGACGAGGGGGACAGACCGAGTTTTCCTGGTGCACCCCTGGACGACCTGGACCGCCTGCTTTCCCGAGGGTTTCCCCAGTGTCCACATGGTGGCGCAATGTTGGGGCTTTGTTTTCGGAGTTTGCCAAACCGTGCAGCTCTTTCAGGACTCGAGAGCTGTGTCGGGCTGCACATCGCCTCCATGGGGTCAAAGCACATTGTGAGCACGTACGCCCGCTGCTTCTGCCGCATGCTCGACCTGCTCGTGCACCCCGACATGCTCTATTCGCTTGCAGCCCTCCTGTCGCAGCTAGCTTGTCAGCAAGCTACTTACTTGCGTCGCCAGGGTGCGGCTCAGAAGACGGCAGGGTGGGAGCAGTGGGTAAAGAAGCACTCTGTTAATGGCGCAGCCGCTCTGTTTCGCTACGTTCGACTGCCTGATCCCTGGCAGTCTTCTTCTATTGTGCAGTTCGCGCCCGCCAACAGCACGCAGGAAATTCAAGTCCTGGAGGCCGAGTGGAAGAAGTGGTGGAGGGTTGGAGTGAAAGACCCTCCTCTCAAATGGCCCTCGGACCTGGGGGAAAGACCCCCCTGCCCCCACCCTGGAGCACCTCAAAAGGGTCCTGAGGACGTTCCCTGTGGGGACGGGTTGTGGGTTCGACCAGCTGCCGTCACGGCAGCTTTTGTGCCTCCCTGACGAAGCGCTCGGGATCTTTTGCCAGTTGATCTCCTGCATAGAGCACAAGGTCGAATGGTCGCCTATGACCACCAGAATGATTTTCATTTTTACGAAGCTGGGTGGAGTGCGACCACTCGCTCTGCTTCACTTGTCTTTGTCGTGTTCAGGCGCGCCTCAGGAGAGCTGTTCTACAGAAATGGCAGAAGGACAACTATAGATACTTATGGTGGGCCATTCGAGGAAAATCGTCGGAGCTCTCGGTCTGGCTTCAAGCGGGCTGGGCTGAGTTTCATTCGGACTCGGGCAGTGACTCGGCGACCCTTCTTGTCGACCTCAAGAAGGCTTTCGAGCTCGTTAGGCGCGAGCACCTCATATCTGCAACTGTCCGTACGTCATTTCCGCTCTGGCAGCTTAAGTTACTCGTGCTAGCATATCGCGCACCCAGGGTCATAGAGCTGCAGGGGCTCTGCAGCGAGGCTACCAAGGTCGACCAGACCATTGCACATGGCTGCCTGTTCGCCACCTGCCTCCTTCAGATCATGCTGCTCGGGCCGTTAGACGAGGTCAGGAAGAGTATCCCACGGTACCCATCGCTGTTTGTGTTGATGACATATGTTTGCAGAGATGTGGAACCGCTACCAGAGTTATTAATGAAGTACCGGGGGCAGGGGCAATGCTTAAGCACGAGCTGAAGAAGGTTGACCTCATCATTGCCCTTGACAAATCCAGGGTGCTCGCGAGCACCCCAGATATCCAGCGCAGTTTACAGCGCAGGCTTATCTCTGTTAAGGCGATTGGAGTGCACTCCGAGCGCAATCTCGGCGTTGACTACTCAGCTGGGCGTGCCACTAGGAGACGGACGCGTGCAGCACGCATACCTGTGGCTAAAGCTAAGCTCAAGCGTTTGATCCACCTGCAGGGCGCGCATGCTCGCAAGAAAACGTTGCAGCGCATGGCGCGCGCATCCATCGAGACTACTGTCACGTTCGGCACGGCCGTGCAGGGCACGAGTATGAGCGAGCTTGATACGCTACGTACTATGGCTGCAGCGTCACTTGGGGCTAAAGCCGCTGGGAGATCACGCGCGCTTGCCCTGCTGATGACCCCCAGCCCGAAGTTCGACCCCGTTTACCGTGCTACGCTAGAGCCCGTCAAGGCCTTCATGCATGTCCTCTGGATGGCCCTTATGCCTACCAGCACGCTGCAAAAGGGCCTTGCTGCTGCTGCTGCTGCTGCCAGATTGGGATCCCGCAGCTCCCCGTGGCAGGCCATCAAGGGGCCTTTCTCTGCGCTTTGGGCTTCTTTGAAGAGTGTGGGCGTTGAGGCAAGTGATCTGCGGGCTTGGAACTTCCCGAATGGCCAGGTTATCGACCCCGCCCAGCTCTGCCCCAGGTCCGTTCAGATGCTGGTCGAGAGGGCCACTGTCGCTTGGCAGATGCAGAAGGTCTCTGAGCATTTCGAGGTGTCCGGGTTTCATGGGGGTGTCTGGATCGAGCCTCTCAGGGCACTCTGCCATTCCAGGATCTTGATGGCCCAAGAGGCGGCCTATTTGCGTTCGGTCGTCATCGGTGCCCAGTGGACGCAGGCCAGGCAGTACGAGCAAGGCTGGATCCAGGACCCCCTCTGCAGGCTTTGTAAGGCATTCCCAGGCACGCTTCTGCATAGGCACGCCAGCTGCGAGCACATCACAGAGCTCGTAGGCCCCGTGCCGACGATGGTCAGCATCTTTGCAGAGCGCGCCAGCACCAATAAGTTGTTTCAAGTATTCATCGAGCGGCTCATTCTTGCCAAGCCGCCCGTGCCGACGGATATGCTACAGTATCCTTTGCAGCCCTACCCCAGGTGGAAAGGAGATGTTTCCAGTTTCACTGGAGATATTTATCTGGACGGATCGTGTGTTGATGAGTTTCCCTCCTATCCCGTGGCTGGATTCTCGGCGGTTGCATTGCATCCCCTGGCGGATCGTGCCGTGTGCACTGTTTCTGGCTTCTCCCTGGGCCGCATCAGGACATCGACGGGGCTGCGTTGTTTGCATTGTATATTGCTCTGCAGCATGCTGTTCCACCTGTGGCTGTGTACTCTGACTCGGTCTTTGTTGCTAGTGGAGTCCATCTGCTGGGAGAGGAGCGCACCACCTGCGCCAGTTTTGCGTGGGCACACCTGTGGAAGCTCGTCTGGCAGAAGATCCACGATTGGGGGGGCGGTTTCACCATTGACAAGGTCAAAAGTCACATCACCCGCAGGCAGTTGCATGACGGTGCCCAGTCGGTTCGACACACTGAGGGCAACAGGCTTGCGGACCAGGAGGCCAGGTGCAGAGCCCACATGCGCAGGCCCGCGTTGGCCCTCAGAAAGCTCCCTCTCCAGCACCAGAAGTTCGTCAAAGGCTTGGGTGTCTGGGTCGCTAGTGTGGGGGCTGTGCTCTCTGAGAAAGATTGCTTGCACCGTGAGCGGCGTGTGCGAGACCCTGAGGCCCCCCCCTCTCTTGTGCTCGTCAAAGCCCAGCCGCCCACTTTGCAGGAACGTGCCAAAGCCACTAACCAGTTGTTTGTAGTTAGGGGTTTGAAGCCGCATAAACTGTGCACGTTTATAGCCCCGACCGTGCCTGACCCCGCCAGGTATGTCTGCTGTAGCGTGTGTGGTTGTCAGAGCTCCCACAGGCTTTCTAAGGGGCTCAATTCTCCGTGTCCTCAGCAGGCCCCTAAGTGGGGAAAGACCGTCGGGGCCCGTTTGCTGACACAGGAGAGGTTTAAAGTTGCCAATGCCATGCTTCATGTTTCTGGGCTGCAAGCTCTCTGAGAGGAGATGATGACAGGCTCGCCAATCCCTCGCTGTGGTGGCGTCAGCTATGCTGGCACGCGGCATGCATTTTCTGTTCTGATTCCTCTGTGCAGTTGGTTGGCGCCGCTCACGCTTCAAATCTTCTAAGCCGTGTGTGCCGCCTGCTGCCAGCCCTCTCAATCTTCTATCTTTATTTGTCGCGCCCCTCCGCAGGCCCACATCGGCGGCTACGAGGGGGCGACCGCTGCCCCACGTGGTGCCAGGTAAGTCACCACGTGGGGTAGCGGCCCAGCGTTGAGGCGGAGACACTGCGTCCGCCCCCAGCGCAGTGCCGAGGAAGAGCGAGCGTCCAACGGCGCAGTCTCCTCCCGCCTAAGCCGCGCGCCGCGCGCCCTCTGAGCCTCTCAGGGGCATGGCGTAGCGGTCGGGGGTGGTGACACCGACGGCGGTCGAGAACGTGTTCGCTGCAAGCGCATCATCGGACGTGAAGTTCGGCGTGTCTGCGTCGATCTCCGCGCCCGCAGGGGCAGAGACGATGGCGGGGGGAGCCCCCGCCGAGTAGAAGGAGACGGCCTCCATGACGCCGCACGGGTCGGCGATGCCGCGCACGATAAGGAAGTCGACGTGAGCGAGGAGAGTCTTGCTGCAGGAGCGAGGCTGCAGTAGATCGCTATGCCGAAAGAAGCGTGCGCCAGGCATCACACGCCCATCAAGGTGAACACCAACTTCAGTAGCACGCGCGCTCTGCCCCGCATCGCTGGCACACCCTTGGTCATCAGCGCCTGCGCCATGAAGCCCTTGCCGTTGCCCAGGGAGTAGCAGCGCAGCGCCTTTAGGGGGAGGCCGCCCAGCGCCGTCAGGTGGAGGAAGATGTCCCGCAGGAGGCGCATGTGTGTGCTGAGTGTGACCAGCAGCGGCAGGACCTGCAGCAGCTCCGTCGACGCGAGGCTGAAGACCATCAGGGGGTGGAAATACAGCGGGTGCGCCAGCAGCATCGTCTGGTGGAGGAGGATGTTCAGGGAGAGCATGACCAGCATCGGCAGGACCCGCAGCAGCGCAACTCTCATGAGGCAGAAGCCCAGCAGGAAACTGATGAACAGAAAGCCCGCCAGCAGCATCGACTGGTGGAGGAAGAAGCTCAGGGAGAGGGTGATCAGCAGCGGCAGGACCCCCAGCAGCACCATCGACATCGTCAGCAGAAAGGCCCAGAAGTCCAGTAGGCTCCACATCCCCATGCAAGTGAGGCTGAGGACCATGGTGTCCACCACCTTCATGCGGTGGCCCCGACATGTTGAGAGACAGGTCGTCAGTCTCAACCTTGGTGACTGATGGCGGAGCAGTTTGGAGAACAGCATGCGCACTGGCACCAGCGTCAAACGCAGGAGCAACGGCTAGCCCAGTCAAGGCATGCACCTCCGGGGCAGTGCGGCCGGCAGCCCGAGCCAGCCAGAGCTCGACGGTCAGCGGCTGAGCGTCGGCATACTCAGGCTGGAGGCGGCAAAGGCGCGCACGCTCAGCAGCAAGAGCCTCGTCGGTCAGCTCTGTCCGGTGGGAGTTGCTGCAGTCATCGCCGAATGAACAACGCGGGTGGTAGCGGCATGCCGTGCGAGTCGAGGTCCTCGGGCCCACAGGGAAGACCTTCAGGCAGTAGAAGTCGCGCGTGGCACGAGCACGGTGCCAATGAGGAAGGGCAGGGACAACAGCAGCAGCGCAACCGCCGTGATGAGCGCGAACAGCAACCAGACGATCACCATTCGCAGTGGCAGGCGCATCACCCAAATGAGATTGCCGAGGGTCAGCGCGATTAGGAACCGGAGGAAAACTTTCCTCAGCACGCCGGTTGTGAAGGCCAGGATCGACACGAGCTTCAGGAGGCACAGCGCGTGCAGCAGGAGGAGCAGCACATCCACCCGCAGAGCCTGAGCCAGGACGGTCGGCAACGTCACCAAGAGCAGGGGGAGGGGCGCCACCAGCAGAACCATTAGCGGGAATAATCTCACGAAGAGAGTGTTGAACATCTTGAGGTCCAGGAGGTTCCGCGAGCCCGTCAGGCCGAACATCAGCGGCATGCGGAACGGCAGCACCACAGCCAGGAACGCCAGCAGGGAGCCGAGCACGCTCCTCGAAGATGCAGAGCTCGGTCTCGAAGTCGAGGTCAGACAGGAAAGAATCATTGTCCAGGTGCACCAGGTCGTTGGTGTAGGCAGTGAGGAAGTCGGTGTTGGAGTAGGCGCTGGTCACGTTGTGTGCGGCGATCGACGTGGCCATCATGCAGATGAGCTCATTCATCGTGTACGTGAGCTGGCCGATCAACGAGAAGAGAAAATCAACCGATAGAGACGCCGCCAGGGAAGGCGTAGCGGCGTCGGCGGGGGCCTCCATACGGACACCCGCACGAAGATCACCTGCTGGAGCGTCGACTGCATGGTCTTCCTCTCGTGGAGGGACACTGTCCTCTTGAGGTGGGGCAGCGGGGGGCACCAACGTGTGGGCAAGGGCCTGGCCACCCGCGCGAGGCGGGGTTCGGTCGCGCTCTCCATCGGCATCGTCGCTGTCGAGAGGTGCATCAGCCCAGCGAGGGCGAGGAGCAGCATCATGGTCCAATTGCCCAGGGCGATCACGATCTCCCGCAGGGCCCCGACGTCCAGCACGGTCTCGAAGCCCAGAAGGGTCCCCAACTCCAACACGGCCCCGATCTCCAGCACGGGCCTGATGCCCAGCAGGAACTCGGCGTCCAGCAAGGAGCTCCGCAGCATGGACAGCTGTGCCTTGAAGAGAAAGATGGTGGTGCTTGGCGGCGTCCGCCAGCTCCAAGGTCGAACGCGCTGCCGCATGGCCAGCAGGAGTAAGAGTCCCGCGGCGGAGAGCACGATGCGCAGCGACTTTGCCAGAAGCGGCAGGGGGCAGTCCGTGCGCGAGCCCATCCTCATCGAGTAGGCGGTGTAGGGCCTTGCCATGGGCCATGCGTTTGACGTCAGCCCTGTCGACCACGTCCACGTCGACGAATGCCTTCTCAGGTGCACTATGGGAAGTAGCATACCAGGCATCCCGCTCTCGGCGGCGACGTTGAGCGACGGATAGCGGGGCACCCGCAGCAGCGGTGGCCACCCATGATCTGCAGCTCGGCATAGAAGTACTGCCCGCAGCAGCGCCCACACAAAGGTGGGAAAGGAACAGGTGGATGATGAGTGCGACTAGGAACCAGCATGCGACGCCATTGCAGAGGATCCCGCTCGCGGGCGGGCGCGCGCAGCCACCAGGAGCCACTGAAGGCTCGGAAGCTCTTGAGCCAAAATGGCTACGGAGGAGGAGGAGGAGGAGGAGGAGGAGGAGGAGGAGAGGAAGACCACCACGCCATGTCACAGGGTGACGATGACGGTCGGCATGCCGTTGTCGGTGCCACTGCCCTGGAAGTCCAGGGGCTCTGAGTTGTCACCGCAGCCGCCGCCGCCGCCAGGGGCAGCCGACAGAAGCAAGACCACCTGCTTGATCGGCGACTTGGTGGTGCCCTGTGTGCCTGTCCGAGAGGTCTCCGAGCTCCGGAACAGGAAGCGGCGGATGGAGGAGGCCTGCATGCATGGCATCGCGCCTGGTAGGGTAATCGATGGAATTACCTGCACTCGCGCGGGGCACGTGTAAAGGTAACGGCTCGAACCAAAACTGCTACGGCAGAGCCCTGCAGCAAGCCTCTTGGGCCGTCTTGGGGCGATCTTGGAGGCCTCGCGGGCACCCCTGTATGCTCCGAAGGCTCCAACGACATATCTTCTAAGAGTATACGTTGTACGCAGCACCCTGCAAATGCGGATAAGAGTGATGGGGGCGGTGGGGACATCGGCAGTCTGCGAGACTCTGGAGAAGCCCGCCGCAGGGACCAAAGTTTCACAACTTCTATAACGAACCCGCCGCAAGCGGCGATTTTGTCGTTAAACCAATGTGGGTAGGTCGCGGGGTGGGTCGCAAATGAGTCGCGGGTGGGTCGCAGGGTGGGTCGCGGGTGGGTCGCGGCTTGATCGCGGGTGGATGGCGGGGTGGTGGTCGCAAGTGGGGTCGCAAAGGGTCGGGCGGGGTCGCAGGGTGGGTTCGCGGGTGGGTCGCGGGTGGGTCGCGGGTGGCGTCGCGGGGGTGGGTCACGGGTGAGTCGCGGGCGGTGGGTCGCGGGTGGGTCGCGGGGGGGTCGCAGGGTTGCCGGTCGCGGGTGGGTCGCTGTTGAGTCGCGGGTGGGTCGCGGTTGGTCGCGGGTGGGGTAGCGGGGTGGTTCGCAGGGGTCGGGGTGGGTCGCGGGTGGGTCGCAGGGTGAGGGTCGCGGGTGGGTCGCGGGGTGGTCGCGGGTGGGCCGGGGTGGGTCACGGGGAGTGCCGGGGGGTCGCGGGTGGGTCGCAGGGGGGTCGCGGGGTAGGTCGCGTGTGGGTCGCAAATGGGTCGCGGGTGGGTCGCGGGTTGGGTGGCGGGTGGGTCGCGGGTGGGTCGCGGGTGGGTCGCTGGGTGGGTCGCGGGTGGATTGCAAGTGGGTCGCGGGTGGGTCGCGGGTGGGTCGCGGATGGATTGCAGGGTGGGTCGCGGGTGGGTCGCGGGGTGGGTCGGGTCGCGGGTTGGGTCGCGGAGTGGGTCGCGGGTGGGGGTGGGTCGCGGGTGGGACGACGACAACAAACAAACAACAGCAACAACGCAACACGCAAAATCCCCACCACGGATCCCCACTTCAGCCACGCACCCTGGGACAATGAATGACCGTTCGGCCCCCTCACTCTGACAACGAGCCCGCCGCAAGCGCCGATTTGTCCGTTAAACCAATGTGGGTAGGTCGCGGGTGGGTCGCGGGTGGGTCGCTCGCTGATGAGATCCGGTGGGTCGCATGGGTCGCGGGTGTGTTGATCGCGGGTGGGTCGCTGTTGGGTCGCGGGTGGGTCGCGGGTGGGTCGCGGGGTGAATCTCAAATGAGTCGCGGGTGGGTCGCGGGTGGGTCGCGGGTGGGTCGCGGGTGGGTCGCGGGGTGGGTCGCGGGTGGGTCGCGGGTGGGTCGCGGGGTGGGTCGCAGGGTGGGTCGCGGGTGGGTCGCGGGAGGGTCGCGGGTGGGTCGCGAGTGGGTCACGGGTTGGGACGCGGGGTGGGTCGCGGGTTGGGTCGCAGCTGGGTCGCGGGATGGGTCGCGGGGTGGGTCGCGTGTGGGTCGCGGGTGGGACGACGACAACAAACAATACGAATAACGACAACTAACAACAACAAGGTCGACACGTGCACTGTCCGCCCGTCCACGGCCCGACAGTCCACGCCTTCACCCACTGGGCGAACACGTGGACTGACGACCCTTGGACCCACTACCCCCCCCATCACCAACACCAACACCAACACCAATTTCATAGAATCCCTGAGACCTCCCTTCCGCACCTCCACGTAATCCTGCGACTGGAAACGACGCGCGCACCGGCGAAGCGACCTTCGGGCATCCTTCGGAATCCATCCGGAATCCTGGGAATCCCTAGGGAATCCCTAGGGAATCCCTGGGGATTCCTAGGATCCTATACCGAGCCTACACGGCCTGTATTGGATCCCATACGCAGCCTGCACGGCCTGAAGGGGAACCTATACAGAGCCTACACGGCCTGTGTGGGATCCTATACAGAGCCTACACGGCCTGCTTGGGATCCGATACAGAGCCTACACGCCCTGTATGGGATCCTACACAGAACCCACACGCCCTGTATGGGGCCCTATACAGAGTCTACACGGCCTGCTTGGGATCCTATACAGAGCCTTCACGGCTTGTACGGGATCCTATACAGAGCCTACATGCCTTGTATGGGATCCGATACAAAACATACACGGCCTGCTTGGGATCGTATACAGAGCCTGCAAAGCCTGTACGGGACCCTATAAAGATCCAGCGCGCCCTGTATGGGATCCCATACGCAGCCTACATGGCCTGCGCGGGATCCCATACAGAGCCCACACGGTCTGTATGGGATCCTATACCGAGCCTTCACGCCCTGTATGGGATCCTGCACAGAGCCTACACGCCCGTATGGGATCCTATACAGAGCCTGCACGCCCTGTATGGGATCCTATACAGGTCATGCACGGCCTGCACGGGATCCCATACAGAGCCTACACGGCCTGTGCGGGATCCTGTGCAGAGCCTACACGGCATGTATGGGACCCAACACAGAGCCTACACGGCCTCTATGGGATCCTATACAGAGCCTACACGGCCTGTGCGGGATCCTATACAGATCCTACACGCCCTGTATGGGATCCTATACAAAACTTACACGCCCTGTGCGGTATCCTATACAGAAGCTATACGGCCTGCTACGGGATACAGAGCCTGCATGGCCTGTATGGGATCCTATACAGAGCCCGGCCTGCTACCCCATCCTAAGAAAAGCTTTCACGCCCTGTATGGGATCCTATACCGATCCTACACGGCCTGTACGGGATCCTGTGCAGAGCCTGCACGGCCTGTGTGGAATCGTACACAGAGCTTACACGCCCTGTGTGGGATCCTATACAGAGCCTGAGCGGCTTGTGTGGGACTGTATACAGAACCTACACGGCCTATATGGGATCCTACACAGAGCCTGCACGCCATGTGCGGGATCTTATACAGAGGCTACAATGCCTGCGCGGGATCCTATGAAGATCCAACACGCCCTGTATGGGATCCTATAACGAGCCTGCACGGCATGTACGGGATCCTATACAGAGCCTGCACAGCCTGTGTGGGATCCTATACAGAGCCTACACGCCCTGCATGGGATCCTATACAGAGCCTACACGGCATGTGCGGGCTCGAAAACCGAGGGGTGTCACTACCGGTTCGAACCCCCCCCACCCCCTCGAAAAACCGAGTGGGGGTGCGGACAGTGGTGGGGACGGTGTTTTGGTGGGGACAGTGGTGAGGGGACAGCGGGACAGTGGTGGGGACAGTGGGGGGACAGTGGGACAGTGGTGGGGACGGTAGTGGCGGGGACAGTGGTGGGGACAATGGTGGGAACAGGGGGGACAGTGGACAGTGGTGGGAACGGTGGTGGTGGGGACAGTGGTGTGGGGACAGTGGGAATGAGGTGGAAACAGTGGGACAGTGGAGGGTACAATGGTGGTGGGGACAGTGGTGAAGGCGGTGGGGAAGACGGCGGTGGGACAATGGGACAGAGGTACAGTGGGAACAGTGGTGGGGACAGTGGGGACAGTGGTGGGAACAGTGGCACAGCTCAGTGGGACAGCGGAGGAGTCAGTGGGACAGTGGGGACAGTAGGGATAATCGGCGAGTGGTTGGGTCCGTGGAGACAATGGGGAGAGTGGAACCGTGGTGGGAACAGTGGTGGGAACAGTGGGGACAATGCGACAGTGGTTGGGGCACTGGTGGGGACAGTGGGGACGGTGGTGGAACCAGTGGGGACAGTGGTGGTGAAGACAGTGGTGCTGGGAACAACAATGGGGGATGTGATGCGGACGGTGGTAGGGACTGGAAGTCGTTTGCTGGCGGTGGGTGCGCGGGGGGAGGGGGGTCGAACCGGTAGTGGCCCTCCTCCGGTTTTCGACGGGGAGGGCGGGGTTCGAACCAGTAGTGACCCCCCCCGGTTTTCCAGATCCGGAGGGGGGGGGGGAGGGGTTCGAACCAGTAGTTGCCCCCCCCGGTTTTCCAGATCCGGAAGGAGGGGGGGGGGGGGGGGGGGTGGGGTTCGAACCGGTGGGGTAATTTCCCCCCGGTTTTTCCAGATACGGAGGGGGGTTGGGGGGGGTTGGAGGGGGGGGGGAGGGGTTCGAACCGGTAGTGACCCCCCCCCGGTTTTCCGCCAGCAGCGGTAGAACACGCTATTTCCTACTCCTATCCTTATTCCTTATTGGAATATACTCCTACTCCCCCCTCAGGCCGTCAGATACCTTCCGCATCCGGGTGGTCCCATCCTAACCTGTAAAAAACAATACAAAATCAGCATTTTTCTTATTTTTTCCTCTCGACATGGACGTCCTGTCGTCCACGGCGATAATCCATTGCAAAAAATACAACAAAGAGCACACGCGCGCGTTCATGTCAGAATCCTACCGAACACCGTGTGTTTGCAAGCATTTCAACATAAAAACATCAAAAACCCAATGCTTTTTTTCACAAAAAAATCTACAAATTTCCTGCCCGGGCTCTCTTGCTGAAATCATAGGAAAACCATAGGAATCTTAAGAATTCTGTCAAATCCAGCGATTTCACGTCATCGCGCGGTGCACTCGCGATGCTCTGTCATGCACCCAGGCCGCGAATCCTGTGCAAAAAAATACCACAAAGAGCACACTCGCGCGTTCATGTCAGAATCCTACCGAACACCGTGTGTTTGCAAGCATTTCAACATAAAAACATCAAAAACCCAATGCTTTTCACAAAAATGCTTTGGGGAGTCCTGTCAGACCGTCGCGTTTCCTCCGGCCACCTCTGGCTTCCTGCGGTGTACCGGGCCATTCTCGACTCGTCTGGCAATGCGTGCGCGGCATTCAACACGCGCTCGCCAGTTTCCGTCGGCAACCGCCATCGCGGCCGCATCAGCTGTACCAAACCGGCTGGCCGGTGTGACTTCGGCCCCCAGTTGTGCCAGCTTTGCTTTTATGTTGTGGGAGGGCGGGTGGGACTGGGCATGCCATGCTTGACTCGCTCGAGCTGGCTAGCTTGACTCCTACTTCTACTCCTACTCCTCCTCCCTACTTCCTACTACTACTCTACTTTTACTACTTACTACTTCTACTACTACTACTAATATTACTCTTTTTATTACTTACTCTTTTACTACTACTACGACTACGATGCTACTGCTAACTGCTACTCCTAATCCTTACTCTAATA